CAGTACTCTGCAAAGCTGTGCTGGCACATTTTCTTTCCTCCTGTTACCCGAGTCCTTCAGCTTTATCTACTCTAGATGTGACAGCCTGCAACTGCAGGCTTCATGAGGCTGTGTTCATGATACTTGCATATAAAAAAAAAATCCTGTCCTCACCAGCAATTTTGTTGTTTTAGGACTCATTTCTATAGAACAGAAACCTGAACTACTGCCTAGAGTAGGAGAGTGGAAGAAAAGACAGACCCCCATGATAAAGTCTCTCATGACTACAAGGGATCAACAGCAAAACAGTCTTTGAGTTATTATGTATAACATGCAAAAGTAGGGCAAAACCAAGACAAACTATGGGGTGGCTGGTCCAAGCTTTGCTGCACTCAAGAGCGCAAGATAAAACTGTGAGTAAGCTCTGCAACAGAAGGACAACTGAGGAACACAAGCCACCAGATGGACTGCATCTGACTGCAGAGCACTGCCCCAGCACAGTACCAAACTGTCAAATGTAGGCTCTACAGTCCAGGTCACTGGAGTATGATGATCTCACACCTTGGTACGACTGATTTACACCTTCACCACAGTCACAAAAACACTAACACATCCTCAGAAAGTGTTATTCAGCCTGGGCTTCCACAGCACTTCTTTATTCCCTCTTCTTTTCCCACCCAGCTGAGCCCCTCACATCTGCTTCTAGTTTAACACTCAAGCTAAGCACTCAGTGTTTGGGTCTATCTGTGAACTGGAGCTCTAGGTTACCAAGGAAATCTGTAGCCAGAGGAAACAACTGAATGAGTCTTCTTTGCATTAATTTCATGTCCTACATACCAAGTCATCCTTTTCCCTTGAAAGCTTTGTTGTGGCTCTGTAGGACTTGCTTCTGCATATCATGCTTAGAGTTCAACAGCCATACCAGAAGTCCATGTAAAGTGAAAATACCAGGGAAGACTTTTTTCCTCTGAAGAAAATGTTCTCTGCACAGCTGTGCAAAGCCAGGAGTCTTGCCCTGAACATCTTCCCCACTGGAACAGGGACCTAACATCCATCCAAAATGTGTCATTAATACCTCGTCCTCAGAATGTTACACAATTATGGAGCCACTTGGCTGAGAAAAACAATCAGCACACCCCAGAAACCTTCACAGGATATTGCAGAGGAACTGCAGGTCTCAGGGAGCTGCTCTCTTCCTCCCACCTTGGCACACAGCTCTCTGCTCCTGATGGCTTAATACAGACCCTCTGCTCCACCTCTACTCTGCAGCAAGGACTCTAAATAGGCTCTGCTGTCAGCTGAAAAGGCTGGGAGTCTTCCTCACTTCACTGGTGTGAGTGAGTGGAAACTACTGGAAAGAGGGAATTGCAGAAGGTAGCAAAAAAAAGTGAGGCAATGAATTTGGCTCCACTGATCTCAGGGGAGCAGTTGCCTCTCAGTTCCAGCATCGGCAGAAAGGAAGGCTGGACTTCCATGGCTTTCCTGCTTGTTCAAGACATACACAGGCTGTTGTGCAGAGCATAACATGGGAATAAGAAAAAGGGAAAGGATGTCTATGTCTCAAAGACATATATTCAAGTGCTGTTCCAGCAGACAGTGGCACATCACAACCTTGCTGTTTACACTCACACTAGAATAATTAGAGCAGTCACTGTTAACTAGCTAACAACTTCACTATACACTTTGAACAATACTGAAGAATTAATCACAACATTTCACAGCCTTCCCTGAACACACCAATCTGCAGAAACACTGAAACCACCCCAGAGACAAAGCAGCTATATTAATCCCACACGGCTTCTGGCAGAAAGAACTACAAAGATTTCAGAGGTACTCACCCTAAAATAATGCCTGCTCAGGGAAGCAACCCAAAAGAAACAAGTCCTCAACAAACCACACCTTTATCCACAAGGCATGACTCAGCTCATGCACTGGATGCCATCAGAAATAAAATACAAGGGTTCATATTCAGCCAGGTTCACTCCCTAAACCAGCAGGTTTCTGGGCTAAGAAGCCCACAGCTGGTATGGGACAGCCTTCCCTTTCAGCCACAAGCCTCTACCCACTGTGTCCTCAGAAAGTTTTGACCTCTCAGAACTTCTCCATCCAGGGACCCCAGCACGTGAAAGCAATAAAGAAAAATTCTCCAATGTCATGCACTTCACACATATTTATGCTTCTCCCTTTGTCCATATCACTTCAGCCAAAAACAAAACTGAAAACAGCAACGGAACAGGAAAATGTTTCTAAAGACTTAACCCAGTAGGAAAAGTGACTAACAAATCCAGACTGCAAATTCCTAAACAAGTTAGAATGCAAGTTATGCAGTGCTTGACCCTGTCATTAATGATGAACTCTATAAAATTACTGTATTTGCATAGGGTACAGGGAAAAAATAGACTGAAAAGCAACACAGTAGCTGGAAACTAGGAAAATAGGAAAGGTTGTGTCAGATTTCCAGATGGATTTTTTGATAGCCCTGATATTTCATTCTGGAAAACAATGCTACAGTTGGTAATTGATAGCAACTCTTGAAGAAAGGCATAAGCCTCCCCTAGGAACCCACAGAGACCTCAGTGCTTCACCACATCTCTGGTTTTATTGCTTTTTCCCTGTGCCTGTCCCCAGGTACTACCTCTCACCCAGACCAACACCAGGAGCTCCCATCCTCAGGACGGGCAGCTCCTGAGGCATATGACAACTGCTGGTGCAGGGCTGCCACTTCTGCCCGGAGCCTGAGCAGCTCCATTTCTTGACACTTCTGTCACATCCCGATCTGGTGCAGATGTTCCTAACTGAGCATGTTTTCCTGTGGTTAAAGACTCTGTCCTTCCTGTTGGGAACTGCATAAGCCTGAGAAACATATCAGTTTCAAAGGAAACCGACATGTATACTTACATGTTCAGAAACATGCAGGTATACTTACACCTCACCTACCACCACAAGTCAGCAACCACCCTCCCACTCACCCATGAAAAGTCACTGCACCTTCTTCCACCTGTATCTTTCAGATTAGTGTCCTACCCAATCTATGAATTATCAGCATTTCTCCTCTCTAGATTTCAGACATTTTTCTCCAACCACAGCTTAACTGATACCTTAATTAAAACATGCCTGATTACCTGACATTATTTGATATCATTCATTTATCTGCTGTACCCAATGCTTTGTCTATCACAGACATCTCTACCTGACCTTCAGATCTGCCACCACGATTGCAGTATGTCAGCAATTGCTTCTGTACACTTCAATCATCACCACTGCTTTTACAAAGAGCCACCCACATTCATTTCTTCAACCACATATTTTCTGCTGATGGGTCACCGCCCTGCATGTTGGATGCTTGCTTCCCAAAGCAAGTGACATCCTATGCCAAAAAATAAAGGACTGAAGAACAGAGAAGAAACCATTAAGGGAATGACATAAGAGGAAGGATTTTGATAAGGGGTACTGTAGAGGTAGTTTTCCCCAGATGTGTCCAAGGTCCTACCTTTCAAGGTACAAGCCAACAACATTTTATCTCATACAGACTTTATATTTGGCTTCACACTGACAGCCCAGTTCTCACTTTCATCCAAAAGACAAAGGGGTAACTTGCCTCTTCACTGGTTCTCAGCAAAGGAACAGTCTCAGCTTCCTGTCTTCTCCAACGGCCAAACTTCAGCAGCAATGCAGGGCTGAGCAGCAGCAAACATCTGGCAGAGGCTGTGCAGGAAGAAATCCCCCACCCCAAGTTAGAGATGGGTAGAAACTCGCACAAAAGCAAAGCCTGCCTCATCTCACACCCAGTGTTTGTCAGTGCCTTTTGCTGCTGAACAGACCCAGCCACCTGCACTTTAGGGCAGCAATAGGTATGCTCTCTCCAGGCATCTTCAAAGCAGAGTAATTGCACATATTGATTTCAGATGTTATCAGACAAACTGCTCCTACAACTCCAGCACAGAAAATCCTCACACTGAGCTCCTCACTAACACACACACACTTTCTCTTCCACTTCTTTGGCACACTCTGATTTGCATCAGATCTATCCTCTCTGCCCCTCAGGCAGGCAGATGCAGCCTCTGGAGACACGAGCTACCCTGCTAATAGCCTGCAGAAGCCATGAAGCACCCTCAGCCTTTTCCTGAACCCTCTTACTAAAGAGGTTTCTCCTCCCCCTGCTCCCAGGTAGCAGTGACTCTAGAAAGGCTCTCCTAAGGTCAGGACTGACATGTAACAGAAGACTTGGCTTTCAGACAGGACTCCTCTGTCTGCAGAGGCTGGCACAAACGACTGGGTTCATACACCCTTCAGTAACTGCAGGGAACTAAAACCAGCAAGAAGAGATGCTGTACTCTGGCAAGCAGATCCTTGGCTGAAGTACAGTGACACATAGCACAGTGCCACCTCTTCAAACCCAGCCAAGGTCTAAACCACACAAGCACTTGTGGTGACTGCTACCTAAACAGAGCTTCTTCCTCCATCAAACAGAACACTGCTGCACTGTCCTTCTACATACCTCCTCTGCTGTAGGCTGACGGGATTCCCACTGTAGCCACCACACAAGAGCCCATAAGGGAAATGCCACAGTCTCTCCCTAGCAAAAGAAAACTGAGCCTTGAAAGTCTGGTTAGTACAAGGACAATTAATTGTATCAGGCAAGACATCTAGCGCTTAACAAACACCCTAATTTGGATTTGAAAGCCAGAGCAGAAGTAAAGAACCAGCAGGCTGTGTGCAGTGGTGGGGGCACCTTGATGCTCTCTGGGGCAAGGTCTCCTTGCGGCTCAGTGCCAGAAGCAGCTGGATGAGCAGCTCTGCCCACTCTCTCTGGGCTATGAACTGTCCTGGGAGCATATGCACACACATGTCCCACTTCAAGCATTCCAGCTTCAACCCCCAAGACATGCCAAAAGCAAGAAGAAATAGCTCGAGACAGCTCCAGATTGAAGGTTTTCACACCCGTGAACACAGTACACAGTAGCCCAGTACCTACTGTGTCTTAAAGCCCAGCCTTCACACCGTATCAAACAATAACATACCTGAACTCCTCGCCAGAATGGTAAGAGGCTGGTGCTTGGTGCTTATGCTCCTGGTTGCTAAGATCTGCCCTTCTCAGGTACAAGCTGAAGAAGCAAGCCCAGGAAAGCATTTATTGCTACGTCTGGAGATTAATCCTAGTCACACCACACACCCCAGCCTGAGCACAGGGTGCAGCACAGCAAGCCAAGCCTTGTGCAGGGACATGCTGGAGCACGGCCCCAGCATGGTTTTTCTCTCCAAGCAACTGAGATAATAGCTCCCTGCTTGCCTTATCCAGTTTCAAAAGCAACACTTCAAAGCCATCCCATGTCAAACACCAGAACAAATTGAAGCTGCCAGAGATGCCTCACAGGGAGGAAATTAACACACAATGGGAAGTGGCACTGTTAACCTCAACCACAGACTACTGCAAATAGAAAGGCAAGGTTCCCATTAAACAAAACCTATCCCATTAAGTTACAACTACAACAGACTGTCAATTTCAGCTCCACCGGAGCCGCTGAAGAAAGCTGTATCCCTGCAGGATCAGCAGTTTTCCTCGCTCACTGCACACAGGCCATTGAGAGCTGCGCTTTATTTACCTCAGAGCAAGGTAAGCATAGGGAGGAAGACAAATCCTCTTCGCTCCAGCCTGGCGTGTGCTCTAAGACCGTGCGAGGGCAGCTCAGACCGAAGCACTGACCCCGAGACAACCCAAGCCCTGAGGAGCTCACAGTGGTCCCCAAGGGCAGCAATGCCTGGGAGGCTGTGACAAACCCGCACGGAGCTCACCACACCTCGCACCTCCTCTGCCCCCCTCAAGAAAACGGAGCGGTGCGGCGAGTAAACTGCTCGAAATCACGGGATTTTCTTTAAGGATTTGGGTTTTCCCATTTATTTTGGGCTCGGTAAAAGCAACCCCTCCGGAGCTGCGGCTGCCCGGCGCCGCCCGGGGGATGAGGCAGCACCGGCCTGAGGGAACCCCCGCACACCGCCTCCGATAACAGCAGCTCGCACCGCACCGCACCGCACCGCGCCCTGCCCCACCGCACCGCTGCCCGCGGAGCAAACCCGGCTGTTCTCCCCCCCCGCCCTGCACCCGCCACGCTGCACCTGCTCCAGGCCGGGGAGCGGCCGCCGAGGTCCCGGACGGCAGCGGGGCGGGAGCGCGGCCCCTCACGCTGAGGTGACCGGAGCCCACCCGCTCACCTGCGCCGCTGCTCCCCGGCCGCGCGCGCTGCCCGCCATTGGCCGCGCACGGGCCCCGAGCGCCCCCGCCCGCGGGCCGTAAGGAACCGCCCGCCCGCCCGCTCCCATTGGCTGGCGCCGGCCGCACCTCCCGCCGGCCGCTGCCCGTGAGGGTGAGGCGGTGCTGGGGCTGCCGCCGTGCCCTGACCAGACGCGCGTTTTGGGGTAAAACAGCCCTTTTTCGGGGCTGTGTGGTGCCCACTTGAAGCACTGGGGGGGCTGGGGGCAGGTTCCTGGGTTCAGACACTGGGATTTTTGCCGGCATCAGCAGGCTCCGCTGGGCCTGGGGCAGTGGTGCCAGGCAGAAGGATGGGGTGAGACGGAGCCGGTGTGGGCACGCCGGTGGCTGCTCCCTGGGTCACCGGTGGCTGGGCTGTGGGTGGTTCTCCTGGTGCCAGAGCAGCGTGTTCTCCTCTGGCACTGAGGGGGCGGCGGTGGGAGCGCACCTCACACATCCTGGGCGGGGTGGAATTGCTCTCGGGGGTGCTGGCATGGGACAGTGTCCCCCCATCCAGGCTCTAACAGTCAACCCTGACCCTTATGTACAAGCATGCTGTGAAGCCTGAAGGCAGTGGGCAGAAACACTGTGTCGTGGTTTGAGGCTGGACCCAGAACACACTGCACACCAGCTAATTCCACTGCCACCGCTCAAGGAATTCCTACAAGCAGATGTCCTCCTATGTTTTATGACTCATGCCTTGGCTTTATATTTCCCTCCCAGTCTCTTTTACCTACTTGGCTCGCAGCTGACTGCCTCCGGGTTGAGGGGTTCCCATTGCAGCCCTGCGCCCAGCTGCGAAGTGTGTTTCCTGTGGGATTCATTGAGGATGTTGGTTTTGTGATAAGTGACTCTCGCTCAGGCTCGCTGGGCTCCGCTGTGACAAGCAGGGTCCCCACCAGGGGATCTTGGCTTTAGCCAGAGAGCAAGAGTTGGATTAAATCAACATCCTGACTCAACCCACTGCAGACTGCTGCTCCTTCCCGCTGGGACAACAAGCAGATAAAAATTGCCTTTCAGTAGGTCTCAAATAATCCTCTGCTTTAGAAACAAATGTATTTCTTACCACGGGTTTCATACCTCAAAGCAACTCAACAGCTTGTGTGCAGCGTGTGGTTTACTACCAACTTTGTTTCCCATCCCAAAAAACGTGACCCAGATTGCCACTGTGTTCAGAGAAGCATCAAAATGTGGTTAAGATGATACGCTAATCATTAGGGAACTGGGGTTGTTTAGCTGGAGGAAAGGAAGCTGAGGGGAGACCTTATTGTTCTGTACAACTACCTGAGAGGAGGTTGTAGTGAGATAGAAGTCAGTCTCTTCTCCAAGTAACAAGTGATAGGACAAGAGAAATGGCCTCAAGCTGCACCAGGGGAGGTTTAGACTGGATATTAGGAAAATGTCTTCACCAAAAGAGTTGTCAAGCACCAGAAGAGGCTGCCCAGAGAAGTACAGTGCTGGGTTAACAGTTGGAGCCAATGATCTTCAGGGTCTTCTCCAGCTTAACAATTCTGTGGTTGTAACAGGACAGCAGAGTGCTTATGACCTCAAGTTAGAACCATGGAATAGTTAGGGTTGGAAAGGACCTTAAGATCATCTAGTTCCAACCCCCCTGCCATAGGCTTCCAAAGATATTGCCTTCTTCCAGCATCTCAGGATATTAGCTAATGATCACTGATTAGATATTTTCTCAAGACAGTCACCAGCCTGAGCTTCTGGGCTGTCTGTTGGCCATGGTGGACCCTGGATATATCCATGAGGTAAAGTAAAGCCTCCTCAAGCCCTGAGCAGTAAAAGCCCCAGTGATCTCCTTGGATGCTCAGGTAGAAGAGCCTAAGGACTCAGGAAGTGTCTGCGTCTATGGAGAGATTGCTCCTATGGCTCTAGGGCATGAGAGTTGCTTGGAAAGACCATAACATACATAACATAAAATACTAATGTATTTCACATGGGCTTGCAATTCAATCAAGCAGAGCCTTGTTCATACATGTTCAACTTAGCATCTCTTGAGCAATGAGTAAAACTCCTCTCTTCTTGCTGTAACTACTGCTGAGAAGTATTTTCAAAGGTTCCAAAGTCATTTGGACTGATTCACATTTGGCTTTGAGTTGCCTAGAGGATGCTGACTGTTAGGAAAGTGCTGAGGATTGTCCCCTAAGGACCTGTCTTCTTTAGCATTAGGCAGTTTAAATCACCAGTGACGTCTAGAGTGCAGTTTTAGCACCGGCATCAGGGTTTGAGACTATCGCCTCTGGCAGAGACTGCTAGCACTTGACCTAGTGGAATAACCTGGTTAGCTACTCCCAGTCAGAACCTGCTGTTTTTTCCAGAGAACAACAATGACAACAACAAAGCATGTGCCTCAGTTTCGTTTTTCATAGTACACAGATGATTACACTACAGAGCAGCAATAACCAGTGCAAAAAGAGCCCCAAATGTCTCTGATGCTTAGACCATGGTGGCTATAACATTAAAAGAAGACTTTGGTATTTCTGTTCAATAATGGTCAGATGTAGTTGTTTGGAACCTGTTACTTCCCATGTGTTTTCTGGGTGCAGGGACCCAGAAAACCTGTCCTTGAGTTACAGTCATGAGGGGGAGACCTGACATTTCCCCAGGCATTTCACAAGTATGTTTAGGTAAAAAAAGAGCTGAACCCATCATTTCTTCTAAGAACAGCTTGGGCTGAATCTCTTTCTGGTGCCACGAATCTGAGCAGGATCCATGCCTGGTACCAGTGGGCAGAGCTCTGTTAACTGGAACGATCTTGATTCACCCCCGCTAAAAAGCCCATCATTTGACTGCAGCGTTGTTATATTCAGAATCCATTGGGACACTGTTGGCTTTTACACTTTCTAAAATAAGGCAATAAAGCAATTAGAAATAGATCTTCACCAAAGAAATCAAAAGAAAATAGTGTGGCGTAATTAATGCAGAGCTGGCAGCAGTGAAAATGAGCTGTAACAACCGTACTGTCACCGGGAGTATGAGTGCTGACTGAACTGCAGGTGTCTAGTGCTCTACTGACAGAGAGGGTCCTTTTGCCACCCAGCACAATCTAGCCCGAGAATGCACATATTTGGGACAGAAGGAAATAAAAGCATCCTTTAGTGCTGTGAGGACATAAATGTTCGTGTCAGTGTTTCACTGCATGTCAGCCAGAGGATTTATCTGACTGAAAACACGCTTTCTCACATCAAAAGAGAAAGGGAATTAGTGCATCCAGAAAGGCAGGTGCTTTTTTAGGGAAAAATCCAATAATGTCCTAAGTGGAGGACTGGAAATAAAAGGGACTTTGCTGTTCCAGAGAAAGAATGAGTGGGCTTAGAGATAGTAAAGATAGCACAGTGTTCTTCATTTTTAATTTGCATTGTTATAGTGTCTGGAAGCCCCAGGTGGAAATCAGAGCCCCATTGTGATGGGAATTGTGCACAAACATAATGATTAAATGTTGCCAGCTCTGCAGAGGTTGAAATGTAATTCCTCATCCCTGCATCATCACTAACCAGCATAATTGCTGCCAAGTAAGTTTTTCTGCAATTGCTCTTCTGGAATATCTGTGCCATTTGGTTTCTGTCAGAGTAACCATGCCTGAGGGATGAAAACCTGGTAACTTTCACAGATAACAATATCTCCTCAGAGGCAGAACCTGCTCACCACGTTTGCATGCATGTTCAGCAATTATTTGCTTGTACCTTGGTTTTCCTTTCTGTGAAATGGGAACAGTCACACTGCACTCATGGCTCACTCTCTTCATCTAACACCCATGACTGACACAAGAGTCCTCTGTTAGACCCTGACAACACCACATACAAGGGCTTTTTGGTGATGTTTGTAATGATAAGGAGATTGATTAGCTGGAGATTATATATTCTAATGATTAGCTGGAGAATATATATTCTTTCTTGCATGTTTTCTGTCTGAAAGGACCGGAGGCATGTTTGATTTACTTAAGGTTCCCTTTCAAGTAGTATTTTTCTATTAGCTAAATAACTGTGTTAAAACCAAAATGCAATTAAACAAGGAGTTTAAAGAAATAAACACTAAATCAACCCAAGCCTCAATCGCCACAGGGTAAATAGGAAGCAATGCAGCAAATTGTCATTGAAGGAGTCTTCACTTGATAGCTAAATCCCTTTGGGTTTCTGTGACACTTTAGCTCACTGCTCAGGAGTCACAGAGCAGCAGAGTACATTGGATGCTCTATTACAGCTTTAAATATAGTCATTTTCTGACCAGAACAGATGCCAAGCCCAGGAAATTCTTCCCTGACCCTAAAAGCAAGATCAGGGCAAAGAAAGAGGACAGCAGGATGGTCCTGCTGGTCACCCACACCTCCTGCTGGGATTTGCACTGAAAGACCTCCATGCAACAAGCTCAGCAGCAGCACAGGTGCATGCATGGTGCAGCCTTTCTCAGGGCAAATCATAAACTTGCCATGAATCCCATTTATCAGTGTTTTAGATGTTGTGTGCTATCCTGCATTCAGTAATTCGGCTTGAATTTCAGCAAACTGAAACAGGACATCAATGCCAGCAAAGGCTCCCCCGTGGGGCTGATCAGACCAGCCCTTCCTCCCTGCTCTCCCACCCCTGTGCCCCAGCTCCAGCCCCTCTGCCAAAAGGAGGGACAGAAACTGTTGCCATGGCCCTTCCCTGCCTTTTCATGCCACAGAAGGGACCACTGTATGTTAAAACCAGACCCTTGCTTGGTTTTCCTCCAGACCAGACAGCTATGGGTCTGAATGGTCCCCACCTGAAAGCCATGGGCTCTAGGACCCTGGCTTAGATGAGGAGCTGGTTTTGGTGAAAGAATGGGAATTACAGTGTCTCCTTCTGCTGGTTGCAGAAATGAAAAGCAAAGGAAAGGACCCCCACAGATGGTGCATTACAAAAAAAACAAACAACAAAACACCAACAAACAAGGACATGAAAATAAACCCTCCCACGGTTTTTAAGGCAATTTTGGGACTTCTAGGGATTCCAACTCAGAGGTTTTGAATAGGAACTACAGGGGATCATTTACAAGTAGCATTTTTCTTAATTTCCTATTCTGCCTTTTAATACTTCCTAGGAAAGAGTAGGGGCTTTTCATTACAAGCAGCTTGAAAGATTAAGCAGGCAGAAACAACCGCCTGCTCTACCTGCAGCCTTGCACTGGTTAAGCTCTGACTTAACTGGAGACTGACCCAGTTTAAGTGGATGTGAAAGGTTACCTGAACACTCTTGCTTCTCTTCGTCTAATCTTTAGCAGCTGAGTTTTCCCCAGGCTTGCATGTGTGAAATGGTCTTCCAGTCCCCTCTGCTGGTTGCAGCTTGTTGGAGAGCTGCACCATGACATTTGGCAGTGACTGTGAAGTGCTTCATCTCCGTGAGTGCTGCAGGAGAGCAGGGATGCCACCAGCCTCTGCCCTCGGTGCCCATTAAGACGGCACGGACTCCCCCAGAGACCAGGGAGCTTATCCTCACCTTAATCAATGCATCCTTAATGTAAGCACCTGGCACCTCTTTTACACATCATGAGAAAGGGTGAAACAGCTAAATGGATAATTTAAAAGAAACCCCTGCCTGTGGAAGCTGAGGCATTCTTCTGAGAGCAAATGATCCCCCTGGGGAGTGTATGGCTTGAAATTCTTGTTGAGCTTATGACCAGACGTCATCTGGAACTGCCTGGGGCTTGTGCCATTGTGGCCCTACAAGCCCAGCATGGTGCATCCATCCCACAGGCTCGTGCTCTCCACCACAGCCAGCGGCGTTAGAGCCACCGGCAGAGCAATCTCTATGCCTTCTTCGCAGCTGGGATCCAGTTTTGAAGTGACCAAGGCAAAATTTCCTCCAGGGGAAGCAAAACAACATTCCGAGAGAGACTTTGTGGAAAGCCTATGCTGATGCATCCTAGAGAACTGAACAGAGCCAGCAGCACAGGACAGGGTCTGCTCATAGCAATGTGGGGCTTGGGTCCAACTGCACACGCTGAGTGGTGCAAACCTTCCAGCAGAGAGGGGAAGCTGTGTTCCGGGGTGCAGAGACCTGGTTTGTGAGGCTAAGGCCAAGCAGGTCAGTTCTGGCCAGCTAACACTGACCAATGTGGGCAGCAAGAGATAGAGCTGGCTCAGGGGAGCAGCTCTCGATGGCCGGCAGCACGCCAGTGCTCCCTGCCAGCCAGCCTGTCTGAGGAGGAAACCCAAGTGACAACACTGATAACAACCTCTGCTCGTGGCCAGAGGCCCAGGGGCCCTGCAGGGGAGGACAGAGCCCAGGGGAGCCTGCACAGAAAGCCTCATGCTCCAGCCCAACTGATAGGATTGCTTTGCATGCACGACCCCCCCAGCATGCCACAAAGCACTGAGTACCCCACACCCAGGGCAAGCATGGGCATTCAAAGGGATGTAGTAAAAAAACTAAAGGTTTATTTTCTTTAATAAAATACATCCTTACAAAATAACCGAGTTTTCTCCCATGCTGAGGGACTGGGAATGATTCTTGCCTGCTCTCCTTCCTTCCCCTTCTCAATTTGGAGCTGTCCAAGAGTGCTGCTGGGGAAGGAGAGAGGCAGTGATGCTCTCCCAGGGGCTTCGGGTGCAGGATGCCCTGGCACGGCCCCAGCACACGAGGCAGGGTGCAGCAGGGCTGTTGGAGGGCCCTGAGGGTCCTTTAGCTTAACCCACCCTGAGCATCGCAGTGCGTCCCACCAGAGGCAGGGTGCTGGGCCGGCCGGACCCTGCCCTAGCTGCAGGGTGCCATGTTCACTTGAGCTGGTGTCAGATGCTGCTCCTGCTGGTCTTGGAGCTGATGCAGGGTGGTGACAGGGGATGATGACCATGTTTTAGGAGAGGAGAAGGAAGAAGAAGGTGCAGGTCTGTCAGTCAATGTGGATTCTGCCAAGAGAGAAAGGTGTACAGTGGTTCCTGGTGTCTTGCTCCCCACTGCCCCTTTTCAAGCGATGCTGCCGTTGCAGATGTGATGTCAATCCCACATCCTGCACAGTGCTGCCCTGTGCTCTTTCCTGCTCTGGGAAGAGCTGCTGACCCCAGGGCAGACACTGCAGCTCACAGCTCACATCTCCTCCATGCCTTCCCCGGAGCTCTCCTGCCTTCCCAGGGGCCTTGGGATAGCCCTGAGACCCATATGCTGTATGCTAGCAGGGCTGGGGAAACACCACTCACCTCTCACTGTGCGTTGTCCAGCTCCTTTTCCTTCTTATGTGACTTTGACTGGGGGTTAAATGAGAGAAAACAGTGATTCCTTTACAGACCCACCCCTTTCTAATGCCAGGAAAATTGTCGAATAGCAGCTTCTAACCCTCAGTGTATAAGCATGCTTCCAGATGAATTTGAGGGGAGCTGTTTTCATGCCTGAAAGGCTGCAAAGCCTCCCTCAGTCATGAAGGTGTTCTGAACAAGCAGAAGAGGGGACATTTTCCAGCTTACTAAAGCACTGGCCTCCCCTTGCTTCCCTTACAGCAATGCAAGTGTTACCAGATATTGGAATATCTGCGCCTAAAGGGAGGGAATAAAGCTGTTATCAGTGAGTCACACACAGGAGATGTCTCCTTTTGGAGAGGATGTTCAGGGATCCCAGTCTCTGACAGTCCCATGGGCTTGGGATTCCCCCTAGGTCAGGAAGGCACCGGGTTGCTCCTCAGTATGAATGTTGTGTCATGCACATATCCCCACTCACACACCCACAAAAGCCTCTGTAGGGCTGTTACTTACAGGCTCCTGTTCTGCGTATTTGAATTTCTTCTGCTTGTAATAGTCCCGTCCTTGGAGAAAATGCAGCAGGAGCAGGTCACAGAGGACAGAGGCCTTAAATCAAAGAGCAGTTAGGGTTGGAGCTGCCCTCCCAGATCACTTATGCCACCTTGTACTTCCAGTGTGTCCCAGTTTGCCCCACAAATGAGGGCCCCTTCTGCTTCACAGGCAAGGAGAATAATTTGAAAGGCTTGGAAATATCTGCACTTACCACTCCAAAAATACCAATTCCAGAGCCAATGGTGGTCATGGTCGGGATGATGTCAAATTTGCCTGCCTGAATAAAACCAGAGGAAATAGGTGATATGTGACAGTCAGCCCAGGGGAAAAGGTAATAAAAGGGGTCCAGAGCTGTAGGTGGGCTTCAGCTGAAGTGCCTTTGCAACAGCCCAAACCATAACCACAGCACAGAAAGAGGAACTGGCTAAGAGCTGGGTTTAAGTTCATAGGCCAAACAGAAAAATCTGGTAAGTTGGGTTTAGGCTGACAGAAGTTGAAATTACTTTGCTTCCTATATTATTTATCTATTTATTTATACATTTATACGTATAGATATGTACATACACACAGAGACACACATACACATCCCTTTTAAATATTCCCAGTGGAAAACAACAAGGAAAGCTTTTTCTCAAGGAAGAAAAAGACAAAACAGAAAAAGGCAAATATTCAGCTTTTGGAAATATCAGGAAGTTTTTGACTTTCCATAGTTTCCCCCAACCCATTATGGTGTTTTCTGGAACCAAACCAGCTGATAGAGGCGACCTGTAAAATGGGCTTCCTCTCTATGTTCCCTTCCCTGGTACTTCGCCACGGCTGCTGTGATCAGGCCAGCATTCAAATACACCACTCACGCTGGTTCTCCTGGCCCCACGAGACCCCAGGGCTGTGTTACAGAGCTGGTACCTTCCTGAGGATGTGGTACAGGCATCCCAGAGATCCAGGGATGACCCCAGGGCCTGGCCGTCCTTACCTTGCCGTTCACCAGGATGTCGAACCGGATCCCAAACACCTTGTAGAGTGTCCTCTTGTCCACCCCATTTTCCTTGTAGTATTTGGCATACCTGCCCAATTGAATGGTGAGCATTAGTGGCCTGCCAGGGTGTCTAACAGCCCCCTGCAACCCAACAGCATCGGGGCCTCCAGAGCAGGACAAAGACCTGGGGATGTGCTGCCACAGACCTGCTCCTGACCCTCTCCTTAACCCCTAAAGGAGCTGGGCTGTTGGCACTTCTCCCTTTGTGCCTCAGTTTCCCTGCCTTCAAGTTGGAGTTCAAGCTTCTGCTTGTGCTGATACCCACTGACCCCAGGTGCTATGTGACAGCAGATATTAGTTCAGAACAAGTGGCAGCTCCACACAAAGCAGCAGTTAGGTCAGCAGCTCATAACTGAGGCTGAATGGTTTGAAGCGTGGGGATATGCAAGATGACCCTGCACCATCTCCAGTCTTTCAAGGGGCTTCTCTAGAGCTCAGCTGAGCAGGAGAGTCTGCAAGGGGGAGGAGAGTCACAGAGAAGGCAGTGGGGTAATTTGGAGGCCAAGGGATGGGTTATCACTTTTTTCATGCCATTCTAAAAGGAGCACTGCTGTCTGGCACTGCAAAGGTTGTGTTTGGAAGAACAGTACCTGATCTTCCACCCTCCCTTGAGTGCTCTGGCATCCTCAAAGATGTCACTTCGGAATTCTGCCTGGAGGGTTAACAGGGGTCTCCTTACCTGAAGTTGAAGCCTGGTGAAACGTTACTGTCATCATTGTAAAGGCCATGGAACTGGTAAATGGGTTTGCAGTGCCGGACGGGCCAGTCAAGGTCACAGTTCCAGTCTATGGTGATGCCCACCACTCCACCCTGCAGCCAAGAGGGGAGTTACTACGTTGCCCCTCCTTGGATCTGGCCCACATGGAGAAATGCTTTCCCTCTTCACATGTGGCCTTTCTTGATGCTATGAGGTGCCCTGGCTCTCCATGGGAACGTGGACCCCACCACTGCCTCAGCCCTTCTGGCCAGCCTTGGCTTTGTGCCTTATTCATCACTCTATGTGGAGGCACTTGCTTCTTTGTTAAATGCTCGATATGCAACTAAATTCATGCCCTCTTGCTCCTGATCTGCACCCTGTCCCTGGGGAAAGGCAGCAGTTTGCAGTGTGCAATGACCACTGATGTTCGACCATGGTTTCCAAGCTCGGTTGGATGGAATTTTGCCATGCAGCTCTAGTCATTGCACAAATTAAACCAAACTCGACCCTGGATTTACTGCCAGCAAGTCAAATCCTGTCAATCTTACAGGGGAGTTTCCAAGAAAGGCTTAAATATTAGACCATGTCCAAGGAGATTCATAGTCTTTAAGAGCTATTTCTGGCACTGCCTTATGGGTCCTTGAGGTCTTGAGCTGTCTCAACAGCTTGGGGACGTTTCTGCCGCCAGTGTCCCCTTTCCCATGTCAGCAAGAAGTATCACTTGAAATTGAAGCACCTTAACAGCCAGGAAGGTAAAATTCTGACCCGATTCCTTCACTATGTATCCCAGGTCAAACACGGGGCACAAGGAATCAGTGACTTTGTGGTAGGTGCATTTCTTCAGGTACTGTTTGGTAACGCTCTCAACCAAGTTGCGCCTGGGAATGAAAAGAGAATGAATCTGAATAACCCAGTAATTTGGGTGGGAAAGGATCTCTGAGGTCCTTGGTCCAACCTATAGCTACTATTGCAACCAACCTAAAGCCAGGTAATGTCAAGTTCAGGACCTCCTCACCAGCATGCTCATGAGACCCTTTCCCTCCAGCCCTGCCTGGTTTCTTCCGCCCCATCAAGTAATTCATTTCCCCCTCCTATGGAGGAAGTGTTTCTGCACTATGTTCCTATGGAGGAACATTCCTGCAGATGTTCTCCACCTCTGCTTTGAGTTTGCTGCTTTGCCTGCTGCCCAAACCCAGCACATCTGCCTTTCTTCATCTCTTCTAGCAACCCCCTCTCTTATTCCTCAGCTTTGCAAACCCTCCCATGGCCTCCAGCATCTCTCCCAGCTGCCTCTCCCATTCACATATCAGCTCATCCATGGGCTCTGCCAGGCAATGCTCCAAGCACCAACAATTTTCAGCTGGGACAGCTCAGGGATAGTATACCCTGCAGCTTTTACGCTGAGCTGGATTTTGCTCTCTCCTCCAGAAAGGGTGAACAGGAAAGGACAATGCCTTGCCTTCCACCCCGTTCTGCTCTTTTGCTTAAAAATAGCTTTCCTGTGATGCTTCCCTGACCCAGATGGTTTTGTAAGACTTGTGCCTTGCTCAACCCCATCCCATCATTTATGCTCAGTGCTTAATTAGCAGCAGTGACCAAAGGCAGGAAGTTTTCCCTGTGACCCCAATCAGCTCCAGCTCAGCCCCTGCAGCAGCAGCCAGCCCGGCTGCCCTCACCTCCCAGGACCTCCTGTCCCACCCCAGGTCCCCTCTCCCGCCTGCTCTCATCCTGGTTGCCACCTCTCCTTGCTGCTGGTGGGGATCCCCTCTCCCCGACACCTCTTGGGGTGCAGTGTGAGGTCGGCTCAAGGCTTTGCCAAACATTATGGTCGCCAGGACATTTAACCTTGGCTACAACACAAGGATGTGATCAGCTTAGAAGGAGGAATCCACTGTCTCCAGCACAAACAGCTCCCGTTAATTTGTTCCAAATGAGATCTCTGACTGGTGTCATCACAAATTCTCTTACATGCGTGCCTTTAGCTGGAAGGGGCCAACCCTTCCAGGCATTAACCCATTGCAGAAGCAGGTGGAAACTGTGATGTTAAGAGGGACCTCTGCTCATTTCTGGGCACCAAGCTTGTCTGGCTGCTCATATCCCACTGTGTCATGCAGTATTTTATTGTTATCTTCAGGGAGAAAAGGGGAAAATCAAAATGAAGGCTCAGAGAAACTGTATTTTCATGTGCATCATGCAAGGGTAACTCAGGAGACATTGACTCCAGAAACCTTTCCTGTAACCACAGCTACCAACTGATCTGGGACAGATAGAGTAGTCCTGGGCTCACTGGTGAGGGACAGCATCCTCTATGCCAAAACATCCTGATATACCCATGGTTTCCCCTGAGGGAACCGGGCAGAAGCAATCCCCTAAACCTCTCCTTACCTGGACACCTTGAACCTGGGGAAGGTGATGCTGTTCTTGATGAACAAAGTGAACTTCTCTGCTTCTGACAACAGGGCAGGGCTGAAAAACACAAATGTTGACCTGCGTCTATCACTCAGCCCTCTGGCCTGTAGGGAAAGCCCCATTTGGTGGGGATTCATCCAAACTGGAATGAGCAGGACCCAGAAAAACTGGTGATCTCCTTCATCCCTTCCCTTTCTAAGTGAAAGATCCCAACAAGGTTCAGGAAAGCCCCAAAGAAGGATGGAAGTGGAGACAACCCCATCTTGCTCTGCCCTACACTGAGCGCTGCTGGTGCAGCTCAGGTGGGACCGGGGTTCAAAATGGGGCAACAACATCATTCCTTACCTGGGAACATGGTCATCGACTTCAACAGGGCACCAGCCAAAGATCTCGCAGGTCTTCACAGAGATGTTGAAATGCACACACTTGCCTGTCATGAGCCCTGTGGGGAAGGAAGCTGCTCACACCCAGGACACTGGGAAATCCCAGCCTCACACCGGGATGGGTGGGAGTTGGTCAGAGCTTCAGCCCTGCCATGGACATCCAAGGCACAAAATACCCACCACTTTGGTGCCTATTTATTTATGAAAAGGGTAATGAATTGTGGCCTCTCAGCTAGGGCAGGGGCTTCTCTTGCACTGCTGCACAAGGGAGCAACTGGGAGGTTTTCTTGCTAAAATACACCTCAGGCAATGCCATGGGGTACCAGTTTGGGGGAAATGGCTTAGTCTGGATTAACCTTCTGCTGGCAGAGCTTTTTGCAGCTCAGATGTCTTTCAGAAGAGGAATTATAGAATGGTTTGGGTTGGAAAGGACCTTAAAATCATCCAGTTCCAAACCCCTGCCATGGGCAGGGACACCTCACCCTAGACCATGTTGCCCAAGGCTCTGTCCAACCTGGCCTTGAACACTGCGAGGGATGGAGCATTTATCACTTCTTTGGACAACCTGTGCCAGTGCCTCACTACCTTCACAGGGAAGAACTTCTGCCTTATCTCCAACCTGAACTTCCCCTGTTTCAGTTTGAACCCATCACCCCTTGTCCCATCACTACAGTCCCTAATGAAGAGTCCCTCTCCAACATCCTTGAAGGCCCCTTCAGACACTGGAAGCTGCTCTGAGGTCTCCACACTGCTTCTCTTCTCCAGGCTGAACAGCCCCAACATTCTCAGCCTGGCTCTATATGGGAGCTGCTCTTCCCAAACCCCATTAGCTGATGGTCCCAAACCTGTACCCTTGGCACACCCCAGCCTTGCCGGTGCCAGGCTCGGTGGCCTCGTGCCATACCTTGTCCCTGGCGGCTGTATTTGCCTTTGGTGCAGTCGCTGTCCCTTGCGCAGAGCCCAGCGTCCGGCAGCTGTTTGGAGAAAGCAGCCACCCCTCAGCATCACACCTCTGGTTTTGGCCCCTTGGTCCCTCCTGCCTCTCCAGGCAGTGTTTTCCTTGTAGGAAATGCTGCTCTGCTGCAGCCGGAGCCTCATCCATACACCACTTCCCAACCAGGGATGAGCAGGAGAAAGGGGGGATTTCTTTTTTAAACTCCAGGCAGATGCTCTTGTTTGAGCCTCGAGTCTGCTCTGCTTGATCATCATAAAGGGAAGAAAACTTAAAGGGATGCTTCCTGGTTTTCAGCAGAATAAAAGCTTTCATGAAACAGGAAGGGTACTATGGAGCCAGGCTCAGGCTTTTACTAAACCTCGCAATGCCAGAACTGCTTCCCCAGTGCCATCACCACAACCCCCCCACATTGCAGAAGCTGAGGCCACTGAAGGGAGCTATGAGGTTTACCTCTGGGCAGGTTCCTTGTTTCTGTCCAGGGGTGACAATGAAGTTGGTCATCACCACGAATGAGTTGTCCCCCTGTGGAGACACAGCCAAGGAGCTCTCAGCCAGCACAATGGCGGGTCCCAAGGACCAAATGCCCCCAGGGGTGGTATGTGGCCAGAGGTTTGTGGCAGGAGCAGCCAGCTTTCCACCACAGGGATGCCATCTCATGGTTAGCCCAATGGAAAGCCTACACCCAGGAGCCCCTCTGCACTCCAGCACATAAAGAAAAGCAGCTGTGGGGACAAAAGCAAGCCCCCCATAGCCTCCCATCATCCTTACCTGGGGTGGGAAGACATAATCCACTACATCCCAGATGTGAGGGCCCATGACACTTTCGTTGGTCAGCGTCAGGCCTTTCAGCTTCACTGAGACTGAGCTGACAATGCTGTCCTGAGACTGGTAGCCCTTCTCGTAGAGGAAAACCCACCTGGACAGGGAAAGGTGGTGGGATGAGCATGGCCACTGGTGCTTGACCACAGGAGCCCCAAGTCCCAGCACATCACTGTGGATTGGAGCTTCTTCTACCAAGTCTCACCAATTATTTGCCCAATTCCCTCCAGCTGGATGAGTGACGTGATGCTGAGCTCTCCCACCCTTTGCCCGAGGCGTGCAGTAGCTGCAGGACCTGACTTCCACCCACAGTGGGATGGTTTATTCTGAGGACTGGGACACGTTTGTGGTTGAGGGCATGTGAAGGCTGGTGGAGCAGTGTGGCCATCAGCTATTTGGGATTAAAGCCTGTGGTGGGTTTGCAGGTTGCTGGGCTCAACAACCCGGACCCTTCTGATCCATTTCATAGGCACTCTCCAAAAATCAGTGCTCCAGGGCCAAGGCAGGGGTAAGTCAGGAAATGGCTCACATCTAGGGCTACCATTCCCCATACAACAAAGGGAATCATGGAGTGCAAGAGGGCTGCAGGAGCAGGGTTGGGGACGCTGCTGTGGCCAGCACAGGGCTCTCCCTGCGTTTCCCAACCCATCACGAAGCCATTAGGGCAGGCTCCTGACACTATTTAACCTGTGACATAAACAAGCTGCTGCTGGATTAACTCTGACTCAGGGACACTATAAACATGGGCAAGCAACCATTCCGGGGAGCGCTCCCAGCACTAAAAAAGGAGCGATCTGGTTTTTGTCCCATCACCACGGGCACCGGTCCCACTGCCCATGGGACAGCCCATGGTGCCAGCCCCCTGTTCTCAGGCTCTCGAGCAATGGGGATGGAGGAAAATAACCCCAGGTGATGCCCAGAAGTCTGCCCTATGGGTGCTGGACGTTATGGGGGCCTCCTAGTGATGGCGGGTTTTGGCTTGCAACCCCATTGGCATCCCAAGACAGGAGGCAAAGAGACCTCAGGGATTGCATCTGCCCCAGTACCTGGGAATGGGAGCAGAAATTCAGCACTGCTGCCACCCCAGCTGGGACCCGCAGCTCCAATGTCCTCCTCTGCCAAGGCAGTGTCATACTGGGTTATACTGGTTACACTGGGCAACTTCCCTGATGCCGTGGGGGCTGTGAGCTGGGCAGCACCATGGTGGAGTGGTTCCCTAAATCTGCCTCCTCTCCTCTGCCATTGCCACCTCATCCTGCCCTGGCAGAGGTGGGCACACAGAGCTGGGCACCGCACTGCAGCACAGCTTCCCCATTGCAGGGCAGGATGTGGTACCCCACCCCCTCCCAGCTGTGGTTACAGCAAACAAAGTGTCATTTCCCCATCATGCTGTAAATGCCACATCCAGCCCTGCCCAGACAGTAGAAGTCCCCTGGTGTCACCCCCTCCTGTGGCAGTGACCAAGCTCTCTTCCTTCACTGGCCCCATCCTGTGGCTCAGCCCACAGCCTCCTCGCGTGTGAGGTTTTCATGCAACCAAAGCCAGAGAGTGACATCCAGCCCAGCAGCGATACCACCTTATCTCAGCCTGTCAGCAGAAACAAGAGCTGCTCCCCAAGGATAACACCAGGTTTCAGCAGGATCAGCCCCATGTCCCCCCTCTGCACTGATGGCACTGCCACCCATCCCTCCAAGCACAGCCATCGGCATGCATCCCTACCAGCATCCCCTACGAAGGGGGACCAGAGCTGGGGGAAGTGTGAATAAATCAGTATCTGCTGCCAAACCTGCTTGCCAAGATAAAATCTCCAGCATGGTGGCTCAGTGCAGGCAGGGAACCAGAGCAGGGCTTTGAGCAGTGAGAGGATGCCAATGGCTGGTGGGGCTTTGGGCAGCCGCATACACAGACAGCTCCTTGCTAGCGGAGCCAGACTCCCCCCCCCAAATTACAGCAGCTTTATGCCAACCTCCTCCCCTCTGCCCCTGGCTGTCACCCTCAGGCTGGTTCCCTTTCTCCTCTCTCCTGTCTCCCTTCAGTTGGGTTGCTTAAGCTGCATTTCCTTGGGAAGATGCGCTTTGAGTAACGGTCTCTGCTGGTTCCCCACCCGCAGGAGCATCCCCCCTGGCCAGGTTTGCTGGACTTAGGAGAGCCAGTCCTGCTCCCGGTAACACCAGTCTGGGCCAGTGCAAAACCCTTTACAGTGGAACATCCTTGAGATCTTGGTTTGGCAGCAGTTCAGGATGAGGGTTATCCTTGTGAGTCAAAGCACTGGTGAACAGGGTCGGAGTGACACAAGTCCTGCAGTGGGAAGATTTCCCCCTTTCCAGGGGATCTGTACTAAAAGCAGGAATGGGCACCACTACTCCCTATAGCTACCTACTTGCACTGAGCCCTGGGAGCTGCTGCCTCTCCTCCGGACTGACTAGGCAGCCTCCACCCTTAAAACACTCAGTTTGACCAGTTCATAGCCTCCTGCTGTGGGGCCCTTCCTGATGGAAGGGTACCGAGCCCACAGCAGCTGTGGAGGCACAGCAAAGGCTGTTATTAACCGCAGCACAGTGCATTGCCCAACACTGAGGGAACAAGGACCGAAGTGCCGCGGCAGGAGCAGCAGCCCCAGGGCACCCAAGGATACACATCCACATCCCCACGGGGCTCTGACCCCGCTTCCTCCGCTCTGCCTGTTTTAAGCAGCTGCTCTTGCACCGTGACTGCTCTCGGAGCTGCCTCCCGCAAGCAAAACCAGCCCATGCATGTGGAGCAAGGCTCCATCCCGGCCCCAGCCGCTGTACTGGCCCTGCCTCCCCGGCCGGGCGGTGGACAGGGAGATTTATGGTGCTGTCTGCAGCCGCTTGGGTCTCACAAATCACTGCGCTGGCCCCAGCGGCCTCTCACTTCACAGAGATGAAAATATAAATAACAACAGATTCTCAGGCCACTGTCCAGCAGCTCGAGCTGCGTTTGGATGTGCCTCAGCGAGGAGACGGGGCCCCGGAGCGCGGAGCAAGGCTGGGAACGGACTGAACCTCCAGCCTGCACACACAGCAGCTCCTGGAGAGTATGTGAGGACCAAGCATCCATCTGGAAGACCCACAGTGGGACACTGGGCTGCGCAGGAGTGGCTGCGTCCAGAGGGATGTGTTGCCATCAGCAATAACTCCCCCTGCATTGGGTTAGAGGGGATGGAGGAGCCTCTTTGCTGCTCTTGAACCCGGTAGCAAAGCATTAACTTGGGGGAAAGCAGGCACGGGGGAGCCTTACCCGATGATGTACGCCAGGACGATGAGCTGGATCAGCCGGAAGGTCAGTCCCACCTTCTTGTTCCTCACCAGCACCATCCGGGGGGTGTCATACTCAAAGAGGAAGGAGGACACCTTCTCCATGCACTTCTGCCCCATGGTTGTGCCAGGGCTGTGCTGCAGCCTCGTGCCAGCCCCGCTGTTCACAGTGCCGTGGGGCAGGCCGTGCCTGCGGCCACTGGAGCGACTCCTGCGCTTGCAGACAGGAGGGAGAAGGCAGCGGGTAAAACGCTATCTGTGGTGCTCTGTGCACATCTGGGCTGTCGGGTTTCCTCCTCTGCGCAGGGATGGGGTTTCCTCTTCCTATAAGCTCTGGGCTGGGTGCCCTACATGGCCTGGGGGTGGGACAGGGTGCGGGAGGGTGCAGGGCAACCACATGCCACAGGGACAGAGCTATCCGACCATGGGGGATGCACCCTCATCCGGGCAGGGTCCATCCCTGGGGATGGAGGGGCTACAGGCAGGGCTCGAGGCAAGCAGGGACCACAAGGCAACCATGGGATGGTGGAGATGAAGGAGGTCCTGGGAGAGGGTATCATCTTTCCTGCCCCGGCAGCCACCTCAGGCTGTGGGTCTCCTGTTTATGTCCCTAACCCATGTCCTCCTCCGTCCCCCAAGGGCTGCCCCAGTAAAAGGGTTGGGAAAGGGGAGGGAGGGGGCACAGAAGCCCCAGCCCAGCAACGCGGAGCCAAAGCCCCTTCCCGCAGTGGGGCTCCCTGGCTGGGGCTTGGCTGGATCCCAGGGGCTGGGCTGGGCACGTTTGGAAGCATTTTCAGTATTCCCAGCATTTCCTGAGCCTTGAGCAGGGCCGGGTCACAGCGAGAGATGCTCAGCAGGGTGGTGCAGGCACTGCTTCAAGGGGATAGCACTGAGAAAGGAGCTGGATTTCTGTGTGCCAGACTGAAATCTGGGGGGCAACATCATTGCAGTGGGAAGCTTTGCGGGTAGCCTCACAGGGGTGCGCTCTTTGCTGGGGAGCACTGGGCTGAGGAGGGCTGTTTCTGGAGGAAACAGAAAGTTTTGCCCCAAAAGCCCGGAGCCCAGAAGCTTCAGCACTCCCCAGAAGGACAAGAATCCATCCCATGAGTCCCAGTTCATCTGCTGCTTCCCGTGACTTTGAAGGATGCACTGGTGTCTGCAGCCATCGAGTCTGACACAAGGTCCCTCTCTGCAGGGGGAAATGTTATTGGAAATATGGAAAAGTTTAACCTGCTGGGATAAATGTCCCTTCTGGAATATTTAACATCATCACCTCCCGTGTTCAATTGCCCATCACTGAGCATCATATTGACCTTTCAACTCAGTATTTTACGGACTTGACAACCACAAAATGAATGGAACAAATCAATTATCTTTGTTGGGCAATAGGGAAAATAGGGGGAAAAACTGATGAACCATCTTTTGGGTGTACCATGAAGCTTGGGAATCAAAATCAGATGATCCCACTTTGCAAGTGACATGACATCCCAATGCCCCAGGCCTCAGCAACGTGGAAAGCTGTCAAATGGGGAGCCAAAGGCAAATATGAAATGCTGATGCTAATCATATAAGATTGAAGGCTGATACTGCTATTGAGCAGAGCAGACAAACCTTATAAGCTTAGATATCTGTCAGGAGAGAAGCAAATAACTTACTGTATGAAACGAGGCCTTTTAGGGAAGGCTGCTCACCCTTGCCAAAGCCATGGGGATAATGAAAATAGGACAGCTAAATTTAACAGCAAAATGACTTGTAAAAGAGTCACTTCTAACCTTCACTCTGGTACTTGGAGTCAATAAAATGGTTATAGCATGGATTTAGCTAAAATACTTTCCATTGGGAGATAATATGCATCTCCCATTATAGTACCTCTTGGAGCCACGTTGCAGCTGGTGAGCGGGGCTGGACCCCACGGGTGTGTCTGTGGTGATGTGGGGAGCAGGAGACCCCAGCACAGGAGCACCCATGGGGCCTAGGTCTTCTCTTGGCTGCTATTAGCACCTGACACGGGCACTCTCTTGGCCATGGCACCCAAATGTTGAGAAAAAACCATAGTGGCTTCACATGCTACCACGCTACCACACAGCAGCAGTAACAGCATGCTAACCATGTGGTTACTGTGGGGAAGTGCTCTGCTTGGGCTCTGTGACATTACCTGCCAGGAGATGCTGAGTTCATGGGGTGTGATGCTGCTGCAGCTCAGGCACTGGGCTGTCCTGATGCCAGCTCTTTCTGTTTGCAATCACCTGTGGTGTTAATAAATATATTGTTGTAACACGTAAATGAAAAATAGAATTAGTGGAAAAAGATGCTTCTATCAGCATTTTTATACTGTGTCTGGTGCAACCCCCTGCACAGCAACTGTGACCCTGGGGCTGCTGGGGTCCTGCAGATACAAGCTTGTAGGATGCTGTCGATACACCCACAGTCATTTCCTCTGAACAACTTTGCATCTCTTGGTCACTTTCAAGCCCCCTGGGGGTGCGCTCAGTGCCAACACTGAGGATGCTGCTGGAGGAGCAGCAGCAGCAGCTTGAGATCAGCTGCAGCATGTCCTGGGCACAGAGAGCGCTGAGCTGGGCTGGACCCGAGCAGCATGCAAATGTGGGACCAAACAGGGTGGGAGTGGGACAACATGGGGGCACAGAGGGCAAAACCAGGCAGAGATAAGGGAATCAGCCCATCTTGCTCTGCTGCCTATGGGAAAGTGGAAGCAGCAACAGCAAATGAGGCCCTAAAGCCTCTGTGTTAGTGCCCAGGGTTGCAAAGCCCCAGGACCTGTTTGCCCAAATGCTCTCCTGAGTCAGCTGGCACTGCCTGGTCCCCAGCACCGGGTTGGCCTCATCCGGCATCTCCTTCAGCTCCAGCTGGGTCAGACCCAAGGGCATCAAGGGCTGGTGACCCACCGAGGGATCCTTGGCAGCGCTACGCAGGGCTAGCGCAGGGCTCCATCCATGGCTGCAAATGCAGCTCCTCCCCCTGCCCCTTCAACAAACTCAACCTCTGCTTGGGGCTGTCAAGAGAAAAATGCAAAAAATGGCGTTTTTAAATGAGGCATTTGGAAATGCGAGGGCATCCTTGCTGGGACCCAGAGCCAGAGGATGGAGGAGCACAAAGAGGGTGGTCTGAAAGCATCTGCCTGGGGCTTGAGCCCTCCCGCACCCAGGAAAGTGAAGCTGTGGTAGGTATAAATGCTCCCAGGTCTTTCCAAGCCCTCAGAGATGGCTCCAAAACCTCCTTGGGGGAGGGGGAAATCACAACTATAATAGACGAAGCTCATTACACAACCCAGACTCATGCTTGGCAGCGTCCAACACCGAGCTCTGAATTTCAGCACAAAAACGTGCAGCACGCTGCAAAGCTGCGGATGGGAGGAACACCACGGTGGCAAGGAGACTTGAAATATGAGGACGGGTGTGAAGGGGACCTGCTGTGGTTGAGGTTGCCAAAAAGAGCCCCTGAAAGTTAAGTGGCTCTTTGGCCACCACAGCCCCCGTGAGCCAAAGGAGATGCTCACGCTGCCCCGCTGGCGATGGGAAGGGGAGTGTGGAAAAACATTGGCAGATGAGAGCAAGCAAGGTCCTACAAAACAGCATGTTCAGTTTTCTTTCCAATTTTAACTTGTCCTTGACCTCTCTTCGCTCCTTCCCAGCAGCGCTGGCTCCGCTCTGTGCCCGGCCCGCGCTGCGACAGCCCGGCGCAGGCAGATGTTTTTGGTGGTACTCACCCCACAGCAGCAGCATTTCCATCCCTTGTTGCTGCAGCAACACGTCACCCTGGAAATACCTCGGCTGTGGTTCAGCCAACGCCAAAGCAAACACATAAACCTGCGATGCTGGGGCTGCCCATCGCATCTGCTGGGAGCACGGCAGGCACATCCTGCGGGGCAGCTGAACAGTGCCATGGGGTACAGGGAGCACTGGGGTGGGGTTTTGGGGGTAACATCCGTTTTCTGAATGCATGGCCCCAGTGGTGATGGTGCCCAGTGGTCCAGGGAGCAATGAACCATCAGATGGGGAATGTGGAGGGGTTTTACCTTCACTGCTACGTGCTGAGACAGCGCTGCATCCTCAGGAGCGGCCGGTAGAGGATCACCACTGCCATGGCTGTGGTAAGCATCATGCACCAGCACTGGAGCCCAGCTCAAGAAGAGGCCAAGCAATGGCCTTTTACCAATATTCACACTTGCCTGTGTATCCCACATCCCTTTCTGTAACCCCCTTTGGGTTACAAAGGTTTTGGGCTACCCTATGCAGCCCCTTTCTCCTGCTTGTACCATTGGGAAGGGGCACATAGGGCTACCTCCTAGCAAAAGCACACCATGAGCATATGTTACCATGAACCCAGATTTGCTCCAAAACACAACCTGCTGTTGCATCAGGATTTTCCACTCAAAACGTGACCATGGGCAGAGCTCTGGGCGATGTGGAGATGGAAACACACAGCCTGGAGGCCCAGTGCCACCCCCAGAGGAGGCCAAGTTATTTAATTATTACTTATTTCATAATTATTTCTTATGGAGGTCATTGCAGGGCTTATTTAAACCTCTCTCAGCTGGGGGAGATAAGGTGAGGACTATTCTGGATCCAGTCAAAATTAGCACTGTTATTTGTATTCTTGTGCCCTGAGAGCAAATTAGCTGGTACTTTAAAGAATTCCCAACAGTCATATCATGCCACTCCTTCCATTTCGCCTTTGTCCCATGCCAGAGACAAGCTCAGCTCCATTTCTAGTTTGGCTGCTCTGAAAAGCCACAAGAAATCCTGTTCTGGTGAGCACAGCTCCTTTTACGGCTGAAGAATGCCCTCAGGCACTCCCGTACAGCTCCATGGGCTCCCAAACGTCCCCCAAATGGGCCACAAAGAAAGGCAAAAACCAAATAATTCATAAAACAACAAAGAAAACCCAACATAAACCCCCAGAGACGTCCAGTAAAATTGCTTTTATTTCTGTAATTTTATGAGTATAAAACAAATCAGCCCGATATTGTGTGAACAGAGTGGATCGTACGGATGTGACCACGAGGAACCTTCCCACGCCTTCATGGCACACCTGGGTATTTACAGTCGGACACAGGACACAGTTTAGGAAGTGGTAATTTAGTGGAAAAATATCTCTCGTGTAATAAAATAGGAAAGCTGTTTCTTTCAGTTTCACCCCTCAAATAACACCCTCCCACCCCATCCCCAAGACACAATGATTTACCTTTCGCTACGAAGCACAAACTCAGAGATTTCTAGATTTGGCTGTTCAGGCATCTCACATATATAAATTCAGCGTATTCCCAGACCAAGGCCACTGGCAGCTAAGGACCTCCTCTTGGTC